TACAATCAGCTGTCTCTATTGTTCCAAACCAGTAGTGGTGTTAGGTAGCCTTTCCCGATTTCTCGAGATAGCTCTGAAGGTGTGTGATGGTGGTGTAGATCTACTACCCGGAGAACGGGTATTCGACCTTGAATATATGGACGATATCATCTTACTGTGTAATAACACACAGGCTACTCAAATGGCACTTAATCAGTTGGCGATTAGCCTCTATAAGTATGGTAAGTGTTCCGCACCATCGAATTGCAAAGTACTTTAGCAAGGTTGGCAGGAGCCTGTGTCTGCGCTCACCCTTGGGGGTGAGCCGTTGGGAGTAGTTAAAAAGTTCGTGTATCTGGGTATTTGTATAAGTGCTGGTGGAGGTTCCATTTTAATCTGTCTATTAGAAATGTCATTTAATGGATAACGTTTCGGACACGATTTATTGTCCATATTTATTAATATGAATATGGACAATAAATTGTGTCCTACCATACCAAAAAGGTCTGTTGGAAAGTGGTTAGACGAAAAGCAGTTGCCGTTGTGGTGCAAACTACTACACTATGGTGGGGGTCTGAGGGCGAAGTCGTACTGCTGCTAGCTGGATGGGGTGTGACAGCAGTAAGGTATTTTACTTGAATGACCAGCAGTGCCATGCTGATGCTGCCTCCTCAATGGAAGGGGGGCTTAGAAAAGGTCGGTCCCAAAAATAACACACTCCACCACGCCCCATGGTCTGCCGGGTTGGCGGTGTTGGTTCATTCGTCGTTTCCTTTCGATCATCCGGCCCCAAAACAACAAAAGTTCAAAACAACCATACACAAAAGGCTACGTGTGACAGGCCTCAAGCAGATGTCTGATGGGCTCTGCGGTCACACAAATCTCTTTCAGGTAACTTAAAAAGAAATAGCCTTTCACGGTGTGGGTAGCCGGGAAGTGTCAGCCGCCCTCACAACTCTAACAGCACTCAAGTTTCTTTTGACTGCTATCCACCTCCCTCATCATTACCTCCTAATCTTCCTTCACGTCTCTCGATTAACGATACTACATCATCTTCAATTTCTCCTACCTCTGCAGCCTTCGACAACGATCTGAATCCACAGAACAGCGTCACTGGTCTCCTTAAACCACGCTCCAAACTACATATTGGAGCCTTCAATGTCCGCGTCATACGTCAAGCTGGTCAACAAGCTTCATTGGCCAAGACTCTAGCAACTCGGGCCATGGATATGTGCTGTATTTGTGAGGCTCGCATACAGGACCCAAGTGTGGTTATTTACCTAACATCTCCTGACCAATCTGATGAATCCGCAAAACTCACCCTTCGAGTTTCTGGAGATTCGATGGCTAGTTCTCGTGATCTTGCAGGTGTAGGCATAGCATTAAGCACTAAGGCAGAAAACTCACTACTAGACTGGATCCTAGTTGATAGTCGCCTCTGCCCTATGAGGCTGAACGGCACAGTGAGAACTAAAAGGAAGTAAAACTCGCCGTTGTTTCTTTATAATCTCTGCTTACGTACCCACTTACTGTAATTCCGTTGAATTGAAGAACGAGTTCTACCGTAAACTGTCTAACCTCCTCTCGAAAGCCAACGATTCGGACGTGGTGGTTGTTGCAGGTGACTTCAACGCACAGGTGGGTAGACTGAGTGAGGCAGAAAGGCACTTTCAGAATCCCAGCTGAACGAACAGGTAGCGGTAATCGCCTACTACAACTGTGCTCAGACAACCACCTATTTTTAGCTAGCACAAATTTCAGACAAAGAAAGACACTATCTGACGCGGCATCCACCAACCTTAACTCAGCGATGGACACATAGACCACATTGCTATCAGTCATCGCTGCAGAGGATCAGTGGAAGACTGCCTCTCCCTCTGAAGTAAATGCTTGGAAAGCGATCACGCGTTGGTCCGAGCGCCTAAATGCTCGCGTCTTAATGGATATAAGGAAAATTTGGCAACAAAACCACCACGAGTCCTGCTGGACAACGAAAACACCAAAGTCGTGTTTACTGAGAAGTTGGGCAGATAGTTATCGGAACAGAAGACTATCACTCATCTAGAAGAAGCTTGGTGCCATCTCCAGTCTACCGTAAAAGCAGCGCTGAAGACCGTAGCCGACTCCGAAAAGGTGGCTAGAAAGAGCCAGTGGATATCAACAGCTTCTTCCGAACTAATGGATGCACGTGAACGCATCCCTACAGGCTCTGAGTACAATGAAGAGCGAGTACAACTTAAAAGTAGACTGAAGAAAAGTCTGCGCAACGACCGAGAACAGTGATGGGCAGCGAAGGCTAAAGATGGCGGCGATTGGTAACAGTAGACAGTTATTTAGACTTATTAAGGAAACTGGCGGGAAGGTCAACAACGGTTAGTGAGACCATAGCGGAGAAGGACGGGTCTGTGAATCACTCACAAGGAAGACGACTGGGACAATGGGCAGAACACTTTGAGGAACAGTTTAACTGGCTACCAGCCACGATTGCGTTGCCCGCTATCCAGTCGAATCCTGAATGGAATATTGAGATAGGCCCCCCAACACTTGCTGAAGTCGAGAAAGCTTCAGGTAACTTGAAACGAGGAAGGGCGGCAGGATCAGACGGACCAACTCCTGAGGTATACAAGGATGGTGATAGAGTGCTCTTAGTCATCATCATCATCATTATCAACATAGGACCAGGCATTACTGCGTAACGGTCCGAGTTGCCACACCTCATATCAGCACATCAAGTAAAAAGGTAGTGAGGTGAAGGATGAAGATAAGTGAATGCAGTCAAAAGAAATATAAAGTACGAGAAGAAAGGAAAGAGGAGTGACAAAATAGTGAGATTCGGTATAGCGTTGTTAAGATGAGGATAATGTGTGTATACATCTGCGCCACTGACTTCGGTTCTGAGCCATATCACCTAGGGTCTCCAACCACTGGTTCCTCTTAGTCAGGTCAACGGAAGTGTTAACTAGTAATTGGGAATCAAACACGATCACTTCTGACTGGTCTAAATCACTGATTATTTCAGTCTTCAAGAAGGGCGAGAAGTTCTCTTGTGATAACCACAGAAGAATCAGCTTGACGAACATAATGTCCAAGATCCTAGGTTCTATAATTCTTCGACGCCTGAGTGGAGCTCGGAACAGCAAGCCCGAGAAAACCAGGCAGGATTTAGATCCGGCAATTTTAGAGTGTTCGGGATGCGTTTCCCACCACCTAAGTGCAAATTGTTGCTCCAGGATTGGTCTTCAACGGTGCCCCACAGTAGCTAACACTAGAGAGTGTAGTGGTTGATTGTGTTGACCACTTCACTTACCTGGTATGTGTGACCAGCTGTGGTGGCTGGCTCAGTACTCGATGAAATCTCTGCACGAATACGAGAGGCTCGTTTGACTTTTCCCAAATTACGTCATCTGAGGTGCCGCATGAGATCCGATTGTCTATTATGGTTCGCGTGTACTGAACAGGAGTTCGGTCTGTTCTACTGTATGGATGTGAAACATGGCCATTGAAGGTGGAAGACATGAGAAGGCTTCTTGTGTTTGACCACCGTTGCCTTCGTAGTATAGGACGTATTCCGTGGTGTCACCACATGAGTAACGCAGAAGTCAGATGTAGTTTTATGGGGAAGAGGTAAGTCAGTTGACACGGTTGTGAACCTTCATCGACTGAGATGGTTGGGACATGTGTTACGTATGCCTAGTCGCCGTCTGCCTCTTCACACATTGTTGGCCGAAGCAGGTCCGGACTGAAAAAGGCCCGAGGTGGCCAGACCAAAACATGGCACCAATGTATGAAGTGTTTGACTGCTGCTTTGAGCTATGTGGAGCTATGCAGACTAGCCGGTTGTCTGGTCCGTGGGATAAGTGAAACCATTGGTTGGAGACTATAGGTGATATGACTCAGAACGAAGTCAGTGGTGCAGATGTATGCACACATTATCCTCATCTAAACGCTATTCTGAATCTCACTATTTCCTCGTTTTTTCATTTCTCTCTTTGAGTACTTTACATTTCTTGTGACTGAATTTTCTTATCATCATCTTGCAGTTGACTGCCTTTTTACTTGATGTAATGATATGAGGTGTTGCAACTTGGATCGTTACGCAGTAATGTCTGGTCCTATGCTCATTTGGATGAATGGAGTCTGACTTTAAAAAGTTGAGTTTACAACGTGTCCGTGCGAGCAGTTCTGTGCCTGTGAAACCTGGCCTCTCCGAGCTTAGGATATGCAACCACTCTGTGTTCAATCATCATTGTCTCCGTAGGATTGCTCGTATTCAGTGGCGACAACATGTAAGTAGTTCTGAGGTACGACAGCGTGTTCGGGCATGGTGGAGATCGTCATTTAGTAAGTGAAGTCATCTGGAAACATCGGCTTCGGTGGCTTGGACATGTTGCGCATATCGTTCTAATGGCTTCCATACTGTTCATTGTTTGCTAACCGTGGGACTGGGTGGAAGTGGATGGTTGGTCAGTGTACGACGTGACGTCATGGGATGAAGGATAGTTGCATCGGGTTAGCATCTGTCGGTGAATCACGACTCCCTGCGCGGAGTTCGAGAGGTAACGCGACTCAGTGGCTTGAGACATTATCAGATATGGTTCAGAATCGAAACTAGTGGTGGTCACGTTGTATCTATCTTCTATCTTCTGTTACTGTAAAGTAATGAATGTTTTGTTTTGCATGTATCTAACTGGACTGTTTTTTCTAACCATACTATTCTTATTGTGCTTTTCTTTTTACCCACTTCTCTGCGCTTTACCTCCTCATATGGTTATATTATTGTGTGGCCCACTTCTTAGTCCCCTTGTTGTACCATGTTTGTGTTCTAATAAAAATAATAATAATAATGATAAAATAACAACCAAAGGAACTTATGGTTCACAACTTTTAGACGCAGAAGACAGTTAAGTGAAAGCTTCCTCTGTCTCGTTACCAACCACCTGAAACCATATGAATGATAATCTCATGCATTATTAAACAAAGCTAGACCAAAATAACTGAATAAAGTAGATTTTTTACACAACTTACACTGCTATTGCGAACAGGACGACGCGGCCTGGGCCTGACTTGAACATTCTTTTACGTCTATCCATGAAAATCTGTTAAATAATGGGCATGGGTAATTTCGTCATAGAAAAACACTTCAGTAGGTAGCTTAGAATGCTAAAACAATGCATACTTTTTTCATGAACATATGGCAGAATCGGAGAACTGAAACGCTCAGTCACAACGCCATTCGCAAATAATAAACTAGTCAATCTGATGAGCTCTAAATAGGACAAAACGTGTATCCTGGATTTTTCTGCTAGCCACAACCAAGCAAATTACCATAGTCTTATCAAACCTTTGTAAAATAATCATCAAAATTTACAGCTTCTCTCAATTACTTTCCGATGGGCATTATAGACTTATGGTCCAATGTGCGAGACTTCACGTCAGCATATGAAAGTGGGCAACACAATGAAAGATAAAATAGTGGGAAGGATGAAAACAGCCGCTGAAAGCCATAAAATGATGAACAAATAAAGGGAATACGGATACACGATATAACGAGTAAGACAGTATGACATACAAGTGTATCTTCAATAAAGCTAGCAATTCTAAAGTGTCCTCAAATTTCTCCAATTATTTCTTTTCGGTTGTTTTACGGACTCTGACTATAAGGTTCACACCAGTAGTCAAAGATTTCATGAATAAATACCGAGTATTGAACTAGTCTTTACCTTTTTACAGTTTAACCTTATTTAAAATAATATTGTATTGAAGTAAACAAGGGGTCGGTTGGTCCTAAAAATCTCAAACGACGAAGGTTGTCAACCTCATTGAGTGGTTCGCTTAACCTTAAACTCCAAATTGCTCATATGGTGATTTCATTACATGTGAGGAATATTACGAAGGCCATAGTACTTAAATACTTTAGCAGGAGATAATCTGCCTAGAAATATACAAAAATGCACTTATTACAAATGAGTTTTCTTGTCCGATAATGTTAATTACAGCCACTGCTTTTATCATGTTACACTAGGCTTAAAGAAGCACAGTTTAAGAAGTGTGCACGTCCACCTAGTATCTCTGCACATGAAATTTTGTTTCCTAATAAACCCAAAACTCATACTAAACCCCATCGATATAAACAGTTCATGCTATTTTAAAAACTGGTACTATGATTACATGGGATAGTTTTCCCAGTAAGCTTCTTTACTCGAGTCCTTTGCTAAGCAGAAAACCAGAAATGATTGAGAGAACTTAACAGTACAGGTTTTATCGACAGCTGTCGATTTTAGTATGGAAAGTAAAACGTTTAGATACGATCACATCAGTATGTAATCGCAATGCTTGTATAGAGAAACTAAGATAATTAGAATGGTGTTGGGGTTTTCTATGGAATCCCATACCTGCGAACTAACACAGGTAATCATATGCTGTTTTGTTGTGCACCCAACTGGAAGACGAGAAAATCAAATCTGTACTTAGGGAGAAGGCATCTAGGTATCTATCTGAAAATGGTAGCAATCTCAATACTGGCGAGACTCTATATAATGCACAGTCTGCTGTAGGAAAAGCAGTATACAATCAATAATTCGCAACCAGAGGCTCAGTCCGTAGCAATACAGGACCTGGCATTGCAATATGCTCATAACATCCCACCAAGATGAAAGGTAACCACGTAAAAGAGAAATAAAAGTTTGTCAAAGTGATTGCATTCTAAATAGCTGATAGAATAAATTTTATTCCAATTAGCTCTTATTACGACAAGAAGAGGAAGCAGACTGAATGCAAACTAAGAATATATAAAAGCTTCTTTATGAGGTTGGTGTGAAGAGCGCCACTAAACCTGGTGATGAGACTTCCACATTAAAATGTTAAGACTTAGGGAACACAAAGCCACTGGCTAAAAATATTTCTGAAAACCACGAACGGTGATAGATAGTGAAAAATTAAAAAGAAAGCCGTGATACGCAACACTAAAGGGTTGACTAGATTTAATAAAGAGATTGAAAAAAAGATGATAATTGGCGAACAAGGAGACAGACCAACCAACTGAGAGCTTGGAACAAACATTCACCGGTACACCTTGCAACAGTTCACAGGAGCATGCAAAGAGTAAGTCAGACAGATAAGCAAGCTGACAAAATCATTATACAACCTCCACCCAAGGGTATCAGTTCAAGCCATCATACTTTACAGTAGCATGGAAACAATAAGTGAACGGAAAAAGACTGATATCAAAGTAGAGAAAGATATATGGGAAAGTTAATGAAAATGTTCAAGCTCTAGAATACGTTAAAAAGGGAATACATCTAAGCCGTCATTGTAACCGATTTCCAGCCTTGTCATCAAGACTCCTCAACATCTTATTCCAATCGTCTCGGGAAGCCCAGTCAGGTAGTCTACATCTCCCCATAGGGATGCAACCAAGTCAGATAGTTCATCGACTGGTGCCATGTCTTGGTCGGGTTACTTTGAACCTTCTTCTAACCTAATCCAACTTCTAGCATGGGACATCGAGATGGGCGGTGGCTCGGCATGTGTAACACTTGTCCAAGCCATCTCGGTAGCTGAAAATTCACCTTATCCACCGAATTTCTTTTCTTGTGTAGTACCTTCCGCAAACATCGACATTGCTAACATGCTGATTCCACTACGTGCGACCAACGCTACGAAGGAAACTATAGTCGAAACCCCGTAGTCTCTTCATATCCTCTACTTCTAACAGCCATATTCAACTGCATAATAGGACAAAACCGACCGCAGTGCAGTATACTCGTCCTTTAAGGGGTAGTCAGATATCTCATCACTCGACACTACAGATGACGCAAGTTGTCAAGTGCCAAACAAGCTTTCTGTATCCCAGCTGAGATTTTATCAGTAACAAGTTCGAGCTGATGCAACTCCCTAAGTAAGTGAAGTGGAAGAAAAAGTGAGGTAGAAAAAATTATCAAGAAAAACTGTGTGAGGTGGAATACATAGATGACGGTTAGCCTAATGTCTAGGACTGTGGAGAAGATAGAGAATGCATACAAGTGAGCCATTTTGACTCATTCTGAGCTATAACAAAAAGTTTCCAATGTCTGATTCCTATTTCTTCCGGAACTCCAGTCAGACAGTCTACACTTCACCAAAAGGTTCAAGGCCAACAGTCAAAGACTTCCTGGATTGATGTAGCACTTTGACCTGACCATCTTTAGACTACTTAGAAACCAATACAATTTTGGATTACATCGTACGCCGAAGTGGGTATTGCCTCAGAATGAGAAACACGCGCCCAAGTCACAGTCGATAAAATCTCATAACCTACGTAACTGTATACTACGTAGTCATTTACCAGTGTGTTAGGCAGCTTACTAAATACATATTGCATTACATAAACCTGTAATCTGTTTATATTTGCCACTTTCAATGGCCATATCTGGTATCCGTATAATAAGACAGACAACTGTTGTGTAGTTTACTCGTCCCTCAAAGGGTAGTAAGATTTCTCGACAGCAACAGCAAGCTGGAAAATTCCAGGCAGGTCTTCTGCACTCAACCTGAAATTTTGTCACTATTCAGGCTATTTGGACTGATGCAACTCCCAAGTAAATAAACTGGTCAACGCATTCTGCTACTTCACTCCATCCTTAAATTCTGAGCTGGTGCAGACCAATCACGAAACATTGTATAACATATGACAAGTGCCAAACGCATGCTAACCAAACACTCCGATTTCTGCCTAAACCTTTCACAAGACCCTCTTTTTTGTCAGTGTCTTCGGCTTACAGGACTATATGATTGCATGCTTCAAGTCAACCAGGTGCCGTCCTAGAAGTAAGTCACTTTCTGTGACGTTTGACATACCCTCGTCTGGCTCTCTTGAGTTTTTCGTTGTTTTCAAACCTCACTTGGGTTTCGTAGACTGGAGATCTCACGATCTTTGATTTTAGGTTAGTCGAACTGATCCCGTTAAGACTGTCATAGACTTTTCACCTTTCTCGCAGATTTGAGTGATCAGTTATCTACACCAGTTTGATAGGACTACCTCTGATTTCAGCTTACCATGTAGCATCTCGGTTAGCTTAGTTAATTTTTCACTTATTTCCTCTTGTGACAAACTTCCAGGTCTCGCTGTTTTGGATCGTTTCAGGTTTGAAATAACCATAGCAACTTCCAAGAGATACAGGACACATGCATATCCAAAGCAAAATTGGGTTGCATGATAGTCAACTACAGCGTATCTGTAGGCCAGCTGAACTGTGCTTCAGTGTTCTACCTGACGTTCTAGCCATCTGTCAAGAGAGGTTATTAGGCAACCATTAAGACGATGGCGTCAATCATAATCCTCTCCATGCGTTTCCTTAATACGCTTAAAGAGCTGCTTGGTATCAACTGATGCTGATGGCTGCTCCACGTCTTTTGCCGTCGCCAACCACTACCGATCGCAATCATTGCAGACTCTACACTGACTGACGCCTAACTTGCTTTTGCGCTTTATCACGATCATAGTTACTTGGAATTAGTCTTTTCACATCAAACAGTTCGCATGAAGTTGATAAAATTCTCTGGCTTCGGATAGCCTTTACCTTTGGATAAAGCGGTTACTAACTGACTTTACCAGTTTCTATAGCAGAATGAATATTACAGCACATTTTATCAGGAAGAGGATTGTTGCCTTACTCAAAAAAGACTTTCTATTTTGTTCCTGAATATGCACTTGGCATACTCATCTTCCAAATACACATATGCCCCACTGATGTCTTTCCTGCGACCAGAACGGAGTGAACGAACACGCACCCGGACTAACGCGTGATCGGAGTTCAAACAAGTACTTCGGAAAGAGTGGAAATTCTCCACCGATCCTCTTCAATGAAGATTGATAGCAATATGATCTATCTGTATCCACTGTTGGTTTGGTGTCGGCGGACGCCATACGAGAAAAGCTTTCCTTATACTTGAAGTCATACTGGCCAGAAACAAATGATTGTCAGGACAAAGTTGTAGGAGACAATCACCGTTGTCGGTTCCTTGACATGGGATGCCTTATAGACTTCCAAGATGTCTTTTCGATCGGTTCAGCTTTCCTCCTTGGGTGCTGAAGTCGCCTGTGATTACGACTACATCT